GTTTGTATTTTTTCATGTTTTCCTAAAATTTGTTTTTCAAACATTACAACATTTAAATATTTCCAAAACATATTTTTAAAACTTAAAAAGAAAATGAATAATTATGCGCAGCTTGAAAAATAAAATACACAACAAGTTTTTGTTGATGGATTGAGTTTTGGGGTTTTAAAGGAAAATGAATTGACACGTTCATGTTAATCGTTGACTTTTTTTCTAAATTTTTTTAAAAATATTTTTTAAGATTAATTTATTCACTTAATTTTTTTTATTTTATTCGAACAAAATTTTGAGAAAATAAAATTTTAAATTAATTTTAATTTCAGATTTTCTTCAATATCCCAAAGATTTAACTAAGCTAACTAGTAACCATCTATAGAAAAAATGGAATAAAGAAAGCAGAAATTCTGATGTTGTAAATACCCAAAAAAATTCCTTAAATTTTTCTAATCATTAAAATTCAATTTGGTAAATTTGATCTTTAACTTAACCCAAAATATTATTAAAATAATTTTTAAAATTTTTGCGGGAAGAGAAGACCCCCCAAAAATATATACTACCATTTTACTTCTTCTCTCAAATGATTTAACCCCGAAAATTTTATATATTCTTCAATCTTTTGCCTTTTCCAGAGATTTCTTTCATTTATTTGTGACAGATAACCCAGAAACACTTTAAATAATTTGTAAATCTTTTTCTTCTTTTTACTTTAAATCATACATATATCCCCTATTTGGCGCCGGTTGGGAGGGTTTTTTGGTTTAAATAAAATATTTTTGGATTTATTTTTAATATTTAAAATTGTTAAGATAATAAGGGGTGTTTTGGCGTGTTTTTAGCTTGGACGGGAGCCTTTGAGAGCTTATAAAACTAACCAATGAATACCTACGGGCTTGAGATTTTTCCTGGATATCTTCAATAGTGAAAATTAACCTTCAAAAAATTTCAGAATTTCTGGTTTTTTATTTAAAGAGTTATGGCCAATAAACCAGAATATTTCGAGTAAACATCGACTTTTTGTTGGTTTTTTGACTATAACTTTTGAAATAATAAACCAAAAATTCTGAAATTTTTAATTAAATTAGACAACATATTTGTGAATATTCAACCATAGTTTCGTAGAAATAGGTTCATTCATTTTGGAGATAACCTAGTTTGCGCCAAAACTTTTACTGCGCCCAAAAAGTTAATCCCCCCTCTTCTTCCCTTCTAAATGTTTTTAACTGGAATGAACGGGATGCCACACATCCAATAAATAAGTATATCTACTAGCTTTTCGGGATTGCGCCATTTTTCCTCTATATCAACCCAATTATATATCATCTTTTCTTCTCCCCGTTCGCGCACTTGTATTTAATTATTTAATTAATTTTGATTTGAAAAAAATTTTTTTCCTGGAACTGAAATTATTAAAATTTACAAAAAAATATTCAAAAAATTCAAAATTTGCGTGTTTCAATTTCTCCGTATTTATTTCTTACCTTAAAACCCAAATTTAAAATTTTTCTATAAATAAAATTATTTTTTAAAAATAAAAATGAAACATTTGCGTAGTTGAAACTTTGCGTGTCAAATACAAAATTTGTTGATTATTTATTTTTAAGGAAGTTTCCGGTTTATTCTTAATTTATTCTAATTATAAATTAAAATATTTAAATTTATTTTTTTTAATAATTTTTGTTCAGTTATTTTTTGATTCCTTAAATTATTTTATTTTATTATTTATCTCCTTGGAGTCTCCTCCTTGTCCTCCCTTACCTCTTTGACGCAAAATTAAAAATCTCCATCTAAACAATACCTATCTCTCTATAATTTTCTACAAAAATATTTCATAGTGTTAGCTACCTCTCCTGAAAATTTCAGAATTTCTGGTTTTCTATTTCAAAAGTTATGGCAGACAATCCGGTTAAAAAGCGTCATTTTCTCGAAATATTCTGATTTTTTGACCATAACTTCTGAAATAATAAATCAAAAATTCTGAAATTTTTAGACTGATTAGTTAACAGTATTGAGAGTATCCATACAAAATTTCTTGAATTTAGGATCACATTTAGCAATTTTATAGGCTTTGGTGTAACCCCCTTTCTTCCCTTATCCCTCTATTAATTTAAAAGCTTTTTTAATTAAATTAATTAATTAATTTTCTTTTTTTTATAATTTTTTAGTGTCTATCAAACAAAAACAAAAAAATTAATAAACTTTTCATTCGTCATTATTTTAAATATTTATTTATTATTTTACCTTCGATCGACCTTCAAACACACCTATTTTTTCAATATTTTTCTAAGTACTTAAAAAGGAATTTAATTTTTTTATTGACAAAAAAACAACTAAAAATTATTAACGAGAAGGGAAGATTATTGGAAGATAAAAAGTAATTAATTAATAATTAAAATCTCTATCATATCACTGTGAGGATATAGAAGGGATAAAACATATTTTTTGATCATTCACATTAGAGATCGGTCTGTATCTGGATCCAGTCTGGATTTTTGCTGGATCCAGGGTCCGGATACACCATTTTTTGATCGTCCTGGATTTTTTCTGGATCCAGATCAAGAATCCTGTCCAGGTTACCGATCTCTAATTCACATATCACTATATATCCACTCTCTCAGTTATCCCTCATAATCCCTCAAAATAGGGATAACTGAGGGCTTCCTTATCACGATACTAAAGTCTCTTATCTCATCCCAAGGAATGATAAGTCAGAAATTTTGCTTATTTTTTGTATAGAATTATCAAAATCTGTCAGATAGCCTTTCTCAACTAGGGAATTACTTGGACTTTTGGAGGGGGATTAGATAAGAAGGGAGTTGAGGGACATGAGAGAGGTTGAGGGTGTTCCCTAATAATCCCTCTTGAAGGATCTAATAATTTACCTGACTAATTTAAATTTTAAAAATTTAAATTATTTTAATTCAATAATTTTTTTATTTTAGCTTATTGGCCAAAAAAATATTTAATTTAAAAATTAAAAATCAAAGTGGCTACCCAACTAAAAATGTTGGTAGGCGCGGATGGGGAGAAGGCAGCTTCTAGTAATTTAAATAGCCCTAGAAATGTTGTTCCTGGTAAATACTTAATTTTAATTTAAATTTAAATTAAAAATAATTTAAAGGTTTAATCCCAAAAATAGAACAACAACAACAAAATTTAAATGATTCCCCTTCCCCTTTTTTTCTCCCCACACATTTCCCTGAAATGCCTGGTGCCGCTATGTTTTTTGGTGCTGCTGATTTTAACCCTGCTCATTGCTTTAATGATGGAAATCCTAAGTGAGAAAATTAAAAAAAATATTTTTAGAAGAACCCTCTCTAATAAACAGGCACTCTAAACTTGAACTGAACCTCTCTATCTTATCCTACCCTTAATATAATAAATTAGGGGAACCCCCATTGATACTGTCTCATTTCTTCTGATATCTGAAAATGGAGGTGGGATAAGTTAGAATAATTAAGAGGTTTCTTTAGTTGTCACGTTAAATGAAAATTTAAAAACTCAATTCTTCCCCATAATCTACCCTATATACCTCTTAGCAATAATATCCGCTATATAGAGGGTTTCCTTAAAAGTTCATTATAGAGGTTTTTAAAAATTATTTTTTAAAGTCTTGACTTGGCAGCCTTTTACGCAGCACAACAACAAATGTTTTGGCCTAATGCTGATGATTTAAAAATTGTGAATACAATGAATGAGGGAGTAATGGATGAAGAAACTGCTAAATTATTTGAACAACAAGTAAAATTTAGAGGAAAAAAATTTGAAAAAATTTTTTAAAATATTTTTTTAGATAGCTGAACATTCTGCTGCAATTGTTGGTCAGTCTCTTCCTTCTGAGAATGATCCAACATCAAATATTTCTTCTGTGCCTCTTTTATCTAACAATAATTGGCCTGATCAAATACACAAACAGGCATGTTTGGGCGCGGGAATGTTTGGGCGCGAATGCTTATAAAATTAGCCTAAGGAGTACAAAAATTGTAGAAATTTTCTCAGATTGTTCATAATATTGTTATCTAACATGTCCAAAAATTTTAGAATTTTTGGTTTAGTATTTGGGAGGTTATGGTCGAAAATGTCGGTATTTTAGTGAAAAATCCGTATTTTTGTTAGTTTTTTGGCCATAATTTAAAAATTAATGGATCAAAAATTCTGAAATTGGTAATATTCAATTTCGTTCCCCCCCCCCCCCCCCTCCTTTTTTCCATCCTCAAAGTATTTAAAAATGGTCAGTCGACTTAAGTTATAGAACTCGTCGAGCTGAGTCGAATGACACCAAATTCAAAAAAATCCGACTTGATTTGACCGAAATACAGACCCCTGAAAATTGAACAACCATAGGGGCGAAAAACCAAAAGGACGAAAAAGTATACAAATGTTAGCTCATTCGAAAGAGCTCGTCGAGCTGAGTCGAGTGATATCGAAATCAACGTAATCAGACGAGTTTTGACAAAGTTATGACATAAGGTTGCCGACTCCGGTAGGTCTAAATAATGCCATAACTTTGTCAAAACTCGTCCGATTACGTTGATTTCGCTGTCATTCGACTCAGCTCGACGAGCTCTTACGAATGAGATATCATTTGCATAAAAAATTTTTATTCTAAAAAATCACCCCTATGGTTGTTCAATATTTAGGGGTCTGTATTTCGGTCAAATCAAGTCGGATTTTTTTGATTTCGATATCACTCGACTCAGCTCGACGAGTTCTATAACTTAAGTCAGACTGACCATTTTTAAATACTTTGAGGATGGAAAAAAGGAGGGGGGAACGAAATTGAATATTACCCTGAAATTTTTATCGTTGCTAGATATATCTATTGAGAATATCTGTGCAAAATTTTATCCCCCTAACCTTTCTTTAGGCAATTTTATAAGGCTCGCCGTAACATTACATTTCAGTTAAAATATATTTTAAAATCCCTTTCTTATTTTCAGCCTTTCCAGCCATACACAAATGCAACAAAATGTAAAAAATCGGGAAATCATATCAAAAGGCCTATGAATGGTTTTTCCAATTTGGAAATTAATTTTTTAATAAAAAATATTTTTAAGCATTTATGGTATGGTCACGTGATGAACGTTTAAAAATTTGTAGTGTTCAACCAGACAAACATAATGCTGAAATTAGTAAAGAGGTAAAAAATAAATTTAACCTCTCAAGATTGTACATAAAATAGAGGTTTTGTATTCAACTCTCGTTTATAGCGACCCTCTTAATTATGCTCATTTCAATATAAGCGACTTTTCTTTCGTTCCAATCTTCCAGTTCACAGTAAAGAGGGGAATTCCGTTATAGGCGACCTTTTCTAATGCATTCAAGTCGCTACTAATGAAAGTTGATTATATTGGGGATTTTCTAGTTCCTATCTTTTACTCAAATAATTTTTAATTTAAAGTTGGGCTTTCGCTGGAAAAGTATGACTAAAGAAGACAAGAGGCCATATGAAATAAAGGCCGAGGAATTGAGGCAGTTACATTGTTTGGAATATCCAGACTATAAATATAGACCTAGAAAGAAGGTAAAATTGGAAATTAAAAAAATTTTAAATTTATCTTTAAAGATTAAAAAACAAGACAGTCAAAAGCCTCAATTAACTATACAAAAAGATAGGGAAAGACTACCTTTGAATAGAAGCGCCAATGGGATAAATATGAGAAGGTAAAATATTTAATTGAATATTTAAAAGTAAAACCTTTGCTATCAATAAAAGCTCTCAATAAAAGGTTCATGATTGGATCTGTGTCCGCAATTATTGTCCGCAATTATTTTTGCGGACAGTCCGCAATTATTTTGCGGACCTATAAAAATTTTTTTTCTACAGTCCACTATAAGGAGTATAAGGAGGCCACTATAAGGAGGGGTCATTAATTTAAAAATATTTATTTTTTAAAGCAATAACAACAACACTAACAACAACACCAATAATTACCAGTCCTTTCTAAATTATGGCGCCCCTATAGAAAATAGAGGACAACAACCATTTGAACAACATTTAGACACCAAACAACAACAACAATATTTCCACCAGACACAACAAACATTGTTTGAAGAAACACAACAATTAATGCAAGAAACATCTCCACATTTCCAACAAACTTCTCTATTAAATTCTTCTTTAAATTCTCCCCAACAAACTATTCAAACACAACAATTCTTTACAGGGTTTGCGGATACTGGTATGTTTGGGCGCGGAAATGTTTGGGCGCAAACGCTTATAAAATATTCAAATGAGCTCCTAAATTTATGAAATTTGGCATATTTGTGCTCAATAATGTTAACTAGCTCTGCTAAAAAATTGAGAATTTTTGGTTATATATTAGAGGAGTTATGTTTGAAAATGTTGAATTTTTAAGGAATTTTGTCGTTTATTGTGAATTTTTCTCGCATAACTTTTAAAATACTTCTCCAAAAATTCTAAAATTATGAGACAAGTTAATTAACACTATCGAGAGTATCTCTGCAAAATTTCACGTTATTAGAAGCTCATTTGACATTTTTATGTTTAAATTTGTTCCGTCACAACCTCCATCAATCATTCTATCTTTTCCCTATTAATTTTTAAAATTTAAAAAAAGCAGCCTCAACTAGCGGTGTTCAAAATCAACATAGTACATATTCAGCTTATAATCCCCCACAAATACCACAACATTCATCACCAGTTTCCTTCCAAATGCCAAGCATTTCAGGCTTAGTAGTTCCACAACAACAACAGCCTTCAACAATGCAATCTAGTAATGAAAGGCAAATTTATGGACAAACAGAACAACAACAAATTGGTAAATAAATAATTTTATTTATAAATATCGAACAAGGTTAACAATAGGTTAACTTTAGTGAAAATGCCTTACGGGAATGGGGGAACAATTTTTTAATTGCGGGGATATATTTCTAAAAAAGCGGGGATAGATAGCAGCATCTCTCTTAGAGTTGGGGGCCCGATCCGGCCCGGTCCAAAAGATCGAGTCGGGCATTGAATTTTGGCCCGATAAAGATTTGGTTAAGCCGGCCCGATAAAAATGAGACCCGAAAAAATGACCCGAACGTCGTTCCGACTCGAAAACCCCAACCCTAATCTCTAACATTTTTTAAAGACAGGATTAATTTTGGATATAAAACACCATCCAAAGATTTATTTGAAATTTAAATTAATTTCTCCCCTTTTCTAGGTGTTTTCCCATCTCAACAACCGGTCCAACAATTTTATTTAATTGACCAATAAGTTGAATTTTTAGATAAAAATTTTAGTTTTGTGATTCCCTTCTTTTATTCTTCCAAAAACTCCAAAATTTTATGTAAAAATCCAAAAATGATTCAAATTCTGGAGAAAAAAGGAGGAGAAATACAAACTAAATAAGAACTTAGCTTTCTTTTTGTAAATTTTAATTATTTGTATTAATCGAAATTTGTATTTTTTTATTTTTAAAAATATTTTTTTCTCTATATTTCTTGACCTTCTATAGCATTTTTGTATTTATTTATTTAAAAATTAGTTTAAAAAATGATTATTTTAAATTTCAAAAAATTGTTGTTAAGATCCTTTGGATTTATCAAAAAAAATTTTTTTCACTTCCTTAAAGGATCCAACAATTTTTTTCTAAAAATTAATTTAGACCCGATTTTTTTTATTTTTGACCTCATTTAAAAAATAAAATTTTCTTTCAAAAAATAAACTTTTCTTTAAATCTGCCCTATAAAAACGATTAAATTCACTGCTTTTATATACTTTATTTTAAATTTTTGTTGAATAAATTTTATGATATTGTAGTAAATATTTTGGGAATTATAGTTAAAAAATATTAAAAAATTTATAATTTTCTAATTTCAAAAACAAAAAAATATATAATTTAATAATCAAAACTGGCAGTATATTTAAAATAGTCAGAAAGCAAAGATAAAAATAAAATTATAAAAAAAGTCAAGACCTAATAGTAAAATTATTAGAGAAGGATTGGAATGGTATTTTGAAATAAAATTTTGAAAATAGAGGATGATTTTTAATATAAAATTTAATCCAAAATTTGACAAAATAACTAGAGAGCAAGATTTTCAAAAAAACGTGACCTTGATTCTTGATTTTAGTTGAGTACCTTGACCAGATTTTTGACCTTGAGTCAAGGAAAAATCAAAGAACTCTGAAAAATGCCTTGATCTGAACTCTGGATCCAGATCCAGCCCGCTCTCTAAAAATAATCAGACGTCTTCAATAATTTCTGAAAAATACAGGGAAAATGTGAATCAAATCGAAAACCCCTTCCAAACACCCTCAAAAAATTCCCGTTCTCTAATAAAAATAAGTATGTTTAATTAAATAAGTTTTCTCTCTTTAAATTTTCTTTTTGTTTTTTAAATAAAAAATTCTTTTTTTAAATAAAATTATTAAGAGGGTCATCCGGAACAGATTCATTAAACACTTCTTCCTCACCCTCTTCTTCCAATCCATTTTCATAAATTTCATCATCTTCATTTTTATAATTTTCTTCTTCTTCTTCCTCCTTTTCTTCATCTTTTCCATACATTTCTTCTTCATCTGCAATAGGATCCATTTTTACTCCACAACTATTTAAAAATCCTCCATGAAAACGACAATAATAAATAAACCTTTAAAAAAAGAATTTTCTTTGAATTATTGCAAAAAATTAGGCAAGGAGGTAATTTTGAGACATTTTGAGGTATTAGAAAAAAATATATTCTATAAAGGACTTGCAACTAATTTTAGAAACCCACCAAAGAAAATTATGGTCTAGTAATTGGTGAGATATTGAAGGGCTAAATGATGGTCTTACATGTTAGATAGATATAAAAACAACTTGTATGGGAATGAATAAAACTGGAAATTTTCTACTATATGGAATGAGTAAAAAAAAGATGAGTTAAAAAGACGGCATCTTTGTGGAGATAAAGAAGACTATTTATAACTGTTATTCATCCCCTCCCAAAAATAATTTATTTTTATTTTATTAAATTTACTTTTTCCATGTTGCATGTAAAGATAATAAAGCTTCATTTCCTATAATTATAAGCAGATACTTTGCTCGACTAATTGAAGTATTTATCCTCTAAAAATATCAAAAATATTCAAATAAAATTTTTAAAAAAATTTTACCAAATCACAACGTAGAAAACCCAAATCATATTGCCTAACCATTGACATAATAATTACTTCCCTTTCAGAACCCTTGAAAATTAAAAAAAAATTTTCAAGTTTAAAATTTTTAAAAATACCTGAAATCCCTCAACAGAATCAACAGTAACACCAGGAAATGAAGCTAACATAACTCTTAAACGAAGAACCTTGAAAAAGATTTTTCGAATTTTTCAGAATTTTCTTTTAAAATTTTGCCTGATTTTTGTAGGGAGAAATAACCCCAATGTCCTTTTCTTGTGTATTTGTTTCAGCCAAAATTCGTTGTACATATTTACATACTAGATTAGCTTCAAAAGTATTTTGATGTGATTTATTAACTCCTTGTTCATCTTCACTGCCACGAGAAGAATGGAAAATTATTGGGAAACCCTAAAAAATGAGTAAAATGTTAAAAAAGACAGGAAGGAATAAAAAACGGGATAGATAAGGGAGGGAAATGTGGGATAATTAGAGGGATACCTAAGAGCTTCTCTTATTGAGCTGTGAGATAAGTGAGAGAATGAGGAAGAGCAAAAAGTAAAAGCTTGAGATATGTGAGAACAGGATAAGCGAGTAAGGGGTCAATGACTGTGATAAAAGAGCAAATTTAGACCTTAAACAATGTCAGATTAAGTATTAAAAAAACAACTGGCTAGCATTTAAAATTGCTTATTAGGCGAGTCAAGCTCTTCTGGTAGCTCAATCGGTAGAACACTCGCGATGCCTCTACTTTAGTTTAAAGCTTATTTTAGCAAACGATTTTTTCATCCCCAAGGTTCAACACCAGAGCTGTCCGCAATTGGAAAAAAAATTTTCCGTAGCCGCAAGCCAAAAAAAACACGCAATCCGCAATTGCAAACAGCCCTGTCTAAAGAGATTTCTGTTTAAAAGAATTAATTTATTTACTTCCTTTCTTATCCCATCAAAAAAAATTTTAAATAGAATATTTAATTTTAAAACAAAAAATATATAATTTAATAATCAAAACTGGCAGTATATTTAAAATAGTCAGAAAGCAAAAATAAAAATAAAATTATAAAAAAAAGTCAAGGCATAAAATAATAGTAGAATTATTAGAGAAAGGATTGGCAAGGTCTTAAGGTTCTAATAAATTTTGAAAATAGAGAATGATTTTTAATATAAAATTTAATCCAAAAAATTTGACAAAATAACTAGAGAGCAAGATTAGAAAAAAAACCTTGACCTTGATTTTGATTGGGTACCTTGACCAGATTCTTGACCTTGTGTCAAGGAAAAATCAAAGAACTCTGAAAAATGCCTTGATCTGGACTCTGGATCCAGTAAAAATCAGGGTCTGGATCCAGATCCAGCCCGCTCTCTAAAAATAACCAGACGTCTTCAATAATTTCTGAAAAATACAGGGAAAATGTGAATCAAATCGAAAACCCCTTCCAAACACCCTCAAAAAATTCCCGTTCTCTAATAAAAATAAGTATGTTTAATTAAATAAGTTTTCTCTCTTTAAATTTTCTTTTTGTTTTTTAAATAAAAAATTCTTTTTTTAAATAAAATTATTAAGAGGGTCATCCGGAACAGATTCATTAAACACTTCTTCCTCACCCTCTTCTTCCAATCCATTTTCATAAATTTCATCATCTTCATTTTTATAATTTTCTTCTTCTTCTTCCTCCTTTTCTTCATCTTTTCCATACATTTCTTCTTCATCTGCAATAGGATCCATTTTTACTCCACAACTATTTAAAAATCCTCCATGAAAACGACAATAATAAATAAACCTTTAAAAAAAGAATTTTCTTTGAATTATTGCAAAAAATTAGGCAAGGAGGTAATTTTGAGACATTTTGAGGTATTAGAAAAAAATATATTCTATAAAGGACTTGCAACTAATTTTAGAAACCCACCAAAGAAAATTATGGTCTAGTAATTGGTGAGATATTGAAGGGCTAAATGATGGTCTTACATGTTAGATAGATATAAAAACAACTTGTATGGGAATGAATAAAACTGGAAATTTTCTACTATATGGAATGAGTAAAAAAAAGATGAGTTAAAAAGACGGCATCTTTGTGGAGATAAAGAAGACTATTTATAACTGTTATTCATCCCCTCCCAAAAATAATTTATTTTTATTTTATTAAATTTACTTTTTCCATGTTGCATGTAAAGATAATAAAGCTTCATTTCCTATAATTATAAGCAGATACTTTGCTCGACTAATTGAAGTATTTATCCTCTAAAAATATCAAAAATATTCAAATAAAATTTTTAAAAAAATTTTACCAAATCACAACGTAGAAAACCCAAATCATATTGCCTAACCATTGACATAATAATTACTTCCCTTTCAGAACCCTTGAAAATTAAAAAAAAATTTTCAAGTTTAAAATTTTTAAAAATACCTGAAATCCCTCAACAGAATCAACAGTAACACCAGGAAATGAAGCTAACATAACTCTTAAACGAAGAACCTTGAAAAAGATTTTTCGAATTTTTCAGAATTTTCTTTTAAAATTTTGCCTGATTTTTGTAGGGAGAAATAACCCCAATGTCCTTTTCTTGTGTATTTGTTTCAGCCAAAATTCGTTGTACATATTTACATACTAGATTAGCTTCAAAAGTATTTTGATGTGATTTATTAACTCCTTGTTCATCTTCACTGCCACGAGAAGAATGGAAAATTATTGGGAAACCCTAAAAAATGAGTAAAATGTTAAAAAAGACAGGAAGGAATAAAAAACGGGATAGATAAGGGAGGGAAATGTGGGATAATTAGAGGGATACCTAAGAGCTTCTCTTATTGAGCTGTGAGATAAGTGAGAGAATGAGGAAGAGCAAAAAGTAAAAGCTTGAGATATGTGAGAACAGGATAAGCGAGTAAGGGGTCAATGACTGTGATAAAAGAGCAAATTTAGACCTTAAACAATGTCAGATTAAGTATTAAAAATAAAATATTAAAAAATTATTTTCTTATAACTATTCCTTTCAATAATTTACCGAAGATTGATTTGACAACAAAAAATAAATTTAAAATTGTTGTCAAAGTACATCTTCGAATTGTTAAAAATAAAATTTAAAAATATTATCGGGCACTTAAGTTCCCGAAAAAATTTTATTTTAAAGATTAACGGCCACGTAAGTCCCAAAAAATAATTTAAAATTGGAAAAAACCTTTGTAGGTAATCCTTCCCAATCAGAAAGTTTATAAAAATTTCCTTGTCTATCATCAACAATTAACATATTATCATAAAATAAATAAGAACAAGGCCTCAAAATATTATAATGTGAACGATATGTTTGGCGTAGAATAACAAAAAATCTTCTAAAATTTTTTTGAAATTTTTTAATTAAAAAATCTTTAAAAAATACTCGTCAGACGAATCCTTGTACATTTCAGAATGCATAATTCTTTTAAGCATAGAAATATCAAAACCAAACCATTTCATTGAATTTACATTTAGAACTGGACCTAATTGCATTGGATCGCCTGCCAAAACGACAGAGGTTTCTTTTCCAACAAGTCCTCCTTTAAAAAAGGAATTTTATTTTTTAATTAAAACTTATCTTTAAATCAATTGATTTTTAACATTATATGCAAAAGAGTACATATACCGATGGAATTAGAACTGTTCCGAGACAAAAAATCGACGAAAATATATTAAAATATCGAAGAAATATTTTCCAAAAATTCGAAAATCAAAAAAAAGCTTCAAAATTCGAAACAGCTCTGGAGGGAATAGATCTAAACTTATCACATTTTAAGATTAAACTCCATATCCGAGCATGCTTTTTTTCCTTTTCAACACAAAAATTCCCAAGATTAGAACAATTAACCTTATATAACATCCCACTCACTCTCAAAAAAAAAGAAAGAATCGAAAAAAGTAGCTGATATGGAATACTAAATAAGCTACAAAAAATCTTCGAGAAAATGATAAACAAAAAAATAAATAGAAGAGCATATGTATCTTTAACTGTTTTCACTCTAACCTTCTTCTTATTTTTTTAGAAAATTAAAAAAAATAACAAACCTATAGGAATCCAAACTTCTGATTCTAATGCCTGACCAGCTTCATCAACAATTATATGTCTAAAAAATTCAAAATTAGAAAAATAAAATAAAAAGAAAACAAACGTAAAATAATCCCTTAAACCGCCAGCCAAAATTAGATAAGATGAAGTAGCTAATGTTGCAATTATTACACGAAACATTTTTAAATTTAAACGATCAGGAATTCCAAAGAAACGGTGTTTGGCTTCTTTTCTATAAAATTTAAAAATTATTTTTAATATCTGTAAAGGATATCTCTTGGAAAATTTAGGGGCTTAGGCAAGATTAAAAAAATCATCTAGATAATTAAAGGAGAATGCTTTATCAAAAAAATGATAAATGACAGGAAAATTCAGAAGTCGTCGAAAATTTTTCCTCACAAGGAACCATATCGAACTGTCACCAAGAATTTTGTAATTATTTTTATACCATCTTGTAGAGCAGGTTCGATTTCCTATTGCCAGTTTTTTTCTTTTTCGGCCCTACCCCCAAATCGGAAAATTATAGGGCTTCAAAGTTTTCGACTTTTGAGCGGTCGCCCTCACTTTTCGTGTTATTTGGTTTCCTGTCAGAATTACTCGAATGTTGAATAAAAAAATTTTTTAACGCAAAAAGCTTTAAGGGAGGATGAACTAAAAATATAATAAACAAGAGGAATCCATGCCTTTAAAAATAAAAAAACTTACGCTAAATAAGATATCGGGTCCAATTTTTTATTTCGACTGTGTGCCATCGTTGCTTAAAAAATAATTTTTATATTTTTAAAAAATACAAAAAAAAAACAAACATAAAGAGTGCATTCTAAAAATATATTTGTGTTCCAAAAAGTCATGTTGTAAAAGAGCTTCAGCAAAATTATCAGCAGCCATTTTACTTGGAGTACAAACCAAAATACGATTTTGGGATGATTGAAGGACTAAATGTCTAATTGATTCAATTAAAGTAATTGTTTTTCCAGTTCCTAAAATTGAAAAAAAATGTCAAAAAATTAAAAAAATATTTTTAAAAACCTGGAGGTCCAAATAAAACAAACGGCCATGGATGGTGTTCTTTATTGACAATTGAGAAGATGGCGTTTTTCTGTAAAATTAAAAAAAAATTTTTATTTCAAGAAGTTGGGAAAAGAAAGCTATCGAAATAAGAAAAGATAGAAGAATAGATACAAGTGATTCTGTCAAAAAATTCTTTCCTGACCAATTTTATTTTTGACTAGGATAAAATGTTAAGGTGTTCTAATAAATATGGATAAATTGATGTTGGGGACATATCCCATTGTCCAATGTCCCCATTCTAATGAACGAATAATTAATCAACTAACTTGTTCTTCATTATAGCTATGATCAGCTTCTTCTCGAAATGGCATTGACAACAATTCAACAGCTCTGCGCGTTCGAAACTCTTCAAGGGTCTAAATAATATTTTCTTCGTAAATATTTTATTTTTAAAAAACCTCAGTAAATTCAGGCTTAGGATAAATTATTTGATCCATATTTCTTCTACTTCCACAATTTGCCAATATCCATTCTAATGAACGAAGTTGTGAGCGATAAACAAAAGCAGAACTATTAATTGACACATTTACCTAAAAAGAAAAGAATTTTATTTTTTCAAATAAAAATTTATAAAATTTTATTACATTATTGCTCAACGCCAAAATTCGAGAAAGCCGTAAAGGATCGACAAAAAATAGAACAATGCTTTGACTTGAAGGATTGACTTGTTCTATAACTGCCTATTTAAGGAAAAAAATTTTTTTTATTAAAAAAAAATAGAAAATCGTGTTCAGAAGGGACGAACTTTTGGCATTTTGTTTAAATAGTCCAAAAGCAGATACCCTCCTAAAATTTTCTTTAGCTCACTTTGTAGACCGAACTTTCAAATTATTTAATTAGTTCAGTAGATTAAGCGAGCAACAAAATAATAATCAAATTCACTACCAACTTAACCACAAAGAACGTTAAAACTTTTTCTAAAAATATAGTTAAAAAATAATTTACATTAGCATATAATTTTCCATCAGAGACAGAACGTACTGAAACGTGAAGGCCTGTAGTTAAAACATCGTCATCAAATGTTCGGCGTGGTATTTTTATCTAAATTGAGAAAAATGTAAAAGTTTAAAAATCTTTCCAAGATTTAAAGATCCTTCCCTTAATAAGGGATAAGAAGTAAATTTCGTTTAAATTATTCATTAATTTCTTTTAGGAAATTATCTTAATCTAGAGTAAAAAATCGTTAAAGAAAACCTCATAAAGAGAATCATCATCAGTACCATAAGGTGCGATTTTAACTTTTTGTAACATAATTTTAGCATCTTGCATAGCACCCTTAAAAAAATTTTTTTTAATTAGAAAATTAAGAGAAAACAAACTCCATCAAATGCCCAAGCAATATAAATAAATATTCTCAATTTTTCGGCTAAAGAAGGCAAATCACAAGCAATTTGTTGTAATTTTTCCAAAATTGGTGCAAATGAAGGGTCATCTACCAAATCATTTTCCTTTAAAAAAATAATTTTTAATTAAAAAAATTTTTTAATTACGGAAAATGTACTTCCCAATTCTTGATATTCTGTTGGAAGTACAAGTGCACGATTAAAGTCCTTATAGAGAAGTAAACCACCACGAATTCTATAATTGAAAATTAAAGAGATAATGATTTCGATAATGAAAATTCAAAATTTTTTTTGCCGTAAATGAAAATTCTCAAGGTCTGAGATCGTAAAAAATTTGTAATTTTTGTCCGCAATTTTTCAGACGAATTGCGGACAAAATTTGCAAATTTATTTGCGAACTTCCCAAAAATACAAGAATAAAAATTACTTTCTAACTCCATCCTTTTGTCGATCTGGCCTTTCCATTGGGTCATCATAAGTAGAAAAATCTTCTTTTAAATAAGTATAGCCATTAACAAATTTTTGTGCTTTAATATTACTTAAAGAACACTTTTAAAATTTTCAAAAAAAATTTTTTATACATATTTTTAGGTTTCCCTCCAGTTGAAGGCTCATCCCTAGCATCATCACTTTCCTGTTGTTGGTTATTTTTGCCATTACTCATTCCTCCAAATTTTTTCCTTCGCTTAGATTTTACGTCCTTAAAATTTTTTAAATTTTTAACCGTCTAAAAAAAGCTAAACCTGAAAATCCCCAAAATCTTCAAATCCATCTGGGGCGGCTCGAGGAGCTGATTGATTTGGTCTGCAGCCACTCCTTCCCCCAAAATCAGCAGATGTTGAAGGCTGATGAAAGCCATTTTGAGTAGCTTTAGGCAGCATTATTCCGGCCTCCACATATTGCTTTAAAACACGATAGGCTTGAGTTATAATCTGAAAATTGTAAAATAAATTCCAAAAAAGAATGGGTTTTTGCAAAAAATTGTCCGAAAACAATCGGCAATATCAAACTGACAACCACATTTTTCCTCCTCAAGTTTCTTCCAATAACTTGCAGAATGGTCAGACTTCTTTCAATTTTCCTTACTTCCATCCAAGGAAGAATAAAAATTAATTCCTCTCGATTGTTTGTAGGCAAGATAAAGAAGGGCAATTTGGATGGAAGAAAGGAAAGTCTGGCCATTCTGCAGATAAACAAACTTGGGGAGGAAGAAATGGGGTCTGTCAGGTTCAATATTACCAAACAATCCTTAAAGAAAAATTTTTTTGAAAAATCCTTAGACCTGTGCTTTTTGAACAGCGCCACCTTTATCCGAATGATGAGCTTTTATTTGCTATTAAAAACAAAATTAACAATTAAATAAATTAAAAAACCTTAAAAAATGCTCTTCTAAGTTCTACCAAATTAATAGTATGTGTAACCTTTAATTCCATCATCATTGACAAAATTTCTTTATCAGTATAGTTGAATTCCTATGAAGAGGAAAATTAAATTAAAATTTCTTTTTAAAGAAAAAAAAATTTTTTAAGTTACCTTACGCAATCCTGACATGTTGAATATTAATATACCCGTAGATCTAATTTATAAAGCTGGCGTTGCAGAATAAAATAAGAGAAATCTGAAAAAAAAAATAAAGTTTAAAACGCAAATAAAAAAATATTTATGTTGTAAGATAATAATCAAAGAAAGATCAGAAAATTCCTCTTTTATTCTAAAAAACTACAAAGTTTGTCTGCTATTTACAAAACAATGTAATTTTTTGTTCAGCTTTCTTTGGAAATTGTGGTGGGACTCAAGCATTCCTAATTTTTTTCCGAAAAGGGTGGGGATCATTGAGTCCCACCGGTTGAATCCCTGAGCCATATTTTTAGCCTTAACTTTTTAGATATTCAATTATTTCGAATAATTCTTTTAATATTCGAAAGCCCTGGTTTTGGAATCATTTTCGCCAACAGGATTGATTTGAGCAGAGCATTCCACAAAAAGTTACGTCTAGACAAGTACGTGCAATCGTGATTTTTCTTGGTTGAATTTCGAGTAGTGAACGACATATCGACTTTTTCTTAAGGAAAAAAAGTCGTTTTAAAAAAATCTACAATTATTCGCGAACTTTTTTTAATAAACAAAACGCCAGAACTACGTAAATATCGATGTTTTACGCCAAACGATTGCGAAACGACTTTTTTGTGTCTCTTTTTCTCTAATTTCACATTATATTTCCTTTCTCTTTTTCTATTAATTTTCGTTCGTGTAGTCTCTCCTTTGGAATTTGCAATTTTCCATTTTTATAAATGTTCAGTCCCTTTTCTGTAATTTTTAGGGATTTTTCCACATATATTCTTACTAGATGGATGAATTTGAAAATGAATTAAGAGTCGCATTCGAAAGCGGCGATCTCGAAGAACCTGTGACACCGTCATCGAAACGTCGAAAATCCGATATCCTTAAGGGATTAGATCTAGGAAGTCCGAAGAGTAGGCGATCATGGAATGAAAGTAAAATATTTGGAAGGTATACGTAAAAAATTTCAATAAATTGTATTTATTATTTTAAGCCATTTCGATTGCGTCATAGACGATAAAGAAAATCTGACCAATCTTGTAGTTTGTAAACAGTGTTATGCGACATTCAATTACACGGGTACACATAATCTGAGGTTTTTTTACTATTAGATCTAAATTCTATTTCTTTAATTTTATTTTTTAAGAAATCATATCGAATTAAAACACGGAGTGCAGTTACCAGCTAAGGAAAAACAAAAGATGATGGAGGATGCCCTTGTTGAATTCTGCGTTACTGATGCAAGGCCGTTCTCTTTAATTAACGGAAAAGGATTTATTAGTTTCCTAGATGCTTATTCTGAATTGATGTAAGTTTTGTCGCGAAGCGACTAAGGATGAGGAAAATAAAATAAATATATTTTTATAATTTTAATTTATTTCGAAATTAATCATCATTTATTGCAAATTCCTTTTTCGGACTTTTACCTTCTAAAAAACCATTTTTTATGTAAACATCTATTCAAACTCTGTTTACATTTTTAGCTCCTTTTGTTCTAAAACTTAGCTTTACTCTGTTTGGCCTTTATCTTCTCTTGAACTGTTCTGTGCTTTGTATTGACGCTGTGTGTTTTAAATTGGAAATAAACTTTATTAATTGATTGAAGTTTTTTTTGGTTGGATAAAACCTAGGCTAAAATTTGCTTGGTAGAAAACCTGGACTTAGATTTGAGCTCTCCCTCCACATATTTTTGGTGCAACGGCCGGGAATCGGGCCGCCTTCAATTTGCTACTTGGATTCTAACTTTGGTTTGGAAGTGCTATACAAATGTCCGGAAGAATTAGACGAAACCTGAACGCTGCCTTGAAAACCATTCAAGAGCATACTGCCGAGGCCAATCGAATTATTGCTGAGGAAAATGATGAGGATACTCGCAGAAAGCTGAAGCTGGAAAAAGCCCATATTGAGACCACTATTGGAAGGATTGAGGAATTGGATGCCCAATGGAGTGATTATGTGACAAGCTTAGAAGGGCCGCAAAAAATGGCTGAGGAGTCGCTATATCTGGATTTTCCGCCCTTATGTGCTGGTATGGAAAGGGAGGAAGGGCAGGAAGTACCGTTAGCTCAACGTCATTTCGTGGATCAATGCGAATTTGCCCGTCAAGTTGTTGTGCTAATTGAACAAACCATGGAGGATCTTGGCCAATCTAGAAGCGGTTCACGTCAATCTGCAATGAGCGAAGTGTCAGATAACCGAACCAATGACCTTGGAAACCAAAATCGGAGGGCACAAGGAAATCAAAGGCCGCAGCCGCCTACAGTACAGTTGCAACAGCCCTTTATGGCGCAACCACGTGCGAAGCTCCCTCCCTTGCATTTACCTCATTTTTCGGGAGAAACCAGAGACTGGCCTACCTTTTGGCAACTTTTCGAGTCAACTGTGGACAATGAGCCCAGCTATGACAATGTTGTAAAAATGAGTTATTTGCTCTCTCTGTTGGACAGGCCCGTACAGAATGTGGTGGCCGGATACTTACCTACGAATGAAAACTATCCACGCGTGGTAAAGCTGCTGAAGTCTCGGTATGGTGACAAACGAGCACTCAAGGAGTCGTTACAGTCAGAGCTGTACCATCTACCCCATGCTAATGATTCTGTGATGGGATTGCGTAAATTTTTGGACATAATTGAAAGAGTGTGCCGTCAATTGACTGATTATGGAATTAGCGATGACTCTTGGATCGTTTTCACTATAAAGGAGAAATTGCCTAGAGGAATACTTTCCAAACTGATAGAAAAGGAACGAGTAGCCGAACAAACATGGAATGTCGAAAAGTGGAGGAAAGAGCTCGACCTACTTATTACAGTCAAAGAAGAGGTCCAGAAATGTAGCGTTAACAAGGAACCTGATTGGCATCAACGAAGGGACAGACGCCCACTGCCAATTCCAAACCCAGAGCAAACCCATTCTTTTCCGGTAGCTAGTCAACCGAGGAAACCCTTTTGTTCATGGTGTGAAGGAACCCATCTACCAAGCAGATGCCCGAAACATAACAACCTTCAGGCCAAGAAGGATCGTTTGCTGGAACAAAACCGTTGCCTAAAGTGCATATTATGTAGAGGGAACCACCCTCCAAGCCATTGTTCTAAGTATATCAGCCCAAAGGCGAGGAAATACAAGTTACTAGAACAGAACCGTTGCCTAAACTGCCTGAGTGATGGCCATCGAACCTTTGATTGCAGGAAGAATCGACGATGTATTAAATGTCGAGGAAAGCACCACCTTATGGTTTGCTATTCACGTGTGTCAAAAATCCAAATGTTGGAACCTATGCGGAAGAGCAATGATTATTGTTCAAAGCAGGCTGGAATGTTTGAAACTAAAAAATTGTTAGATGAAAAAACAAAGGCTCTCCAAGAGAAAGATAGAACGATAGTGAAATTGATGTCCGAGCTGATGTTGGCACGCAGAAAATCCGAGGAGGAATCCAAAAAAGCTAAGCGATTGAAAGTTCTCTTAGATGAAGCTAATTCGAGGAAGATTGGTGATTTTAATCCGAAAAAGATCGATAAGAGAAAAGGAATTCTGAAAGAGACTCAAGTGCGAATCAATTCCCTTCAGAAGACTAATCGAGAATTGCTGGTCAAAAATGATAAGCTCAAGCGTGAAATGCACGTCTACCGTAACAAATGCTTACAACTAGAAAGACTGGAACCACCAGATTTCTATGCCTGTTGCTGCCCCTGGATGGGTATAAAAATGTTCATGATTGTCCTTGTCGCTTTTGCTATGATCTTGGATGGCGCTAAAGCTGCTTTGAGGATGTTTATTAACGCAACCAATAAACTTTGGAAATGTAAAACGAATGGAAGGATGGAAAATGAATTGACTCTTGAAACCCGCTCTTGGCTTTCTTTAACGATTTTTGCCACCGTTGTTGCGATCAACCCCAGTTGGACCTTTCTCGCCATCTTTGTTAATGTTATGGATGGCTGGACACATGCACGGAAAGAGAGCAGAAAATGTGCAATGGATGATGTGCCGAAGATCAAGAAAAGAAAGAAAATACTTGAAAGATGGAAAAAGGAAATTGAGGATGAAACTTTCAGACGCGGGCGGGAATGTCGCGAAGCGACTAAGGATGAGGAAAATAAAATAAATATATTTTTATAATTTTAATTTATTTCGAAATTAATCATCATTTATTGCAAATTCCTTTTTCGGACTTTTACCTTCTAAAAAACCATTTTTTATGTAAACATCTATTCAAACTCTGTTTACATTTTTAGCTCCTTTTGTTCTAAAACTTAGCTTTACTCTGTTTGGCCTTTATCTTCTCTTGAACTGTTCTGTGCTTTGTATTGACGCTGTGTGTTTTAAATTGGAAATAAACTTTATTAATTGATTGAAGTTTTTTTTGGTTGGATAAAACCTAGGCTAAAATTTGCTTGGTAGAAAACCTGGACTTAGATTTGAGCTCTCCCTCCACAAGTTTCGTGAAATGAATATTATTAATTTAATTTATAGAATTGACAGACACTTAAAAAACCAAACTACAACGTCCAGCCTCATCTTACCTAATGAAAAAACTATAAGTCGAAAGGTGTTCGAGGTGCTAAAATCTAAGCAACCAGAACTTAATTCTATTTTTGATGAAATGAGCGAATCTGGGTTTTCTATTTCGCTCGATTTTTCTCAGAAGTTGGGCACTGATTATTGCGTCATGGTGGCACACTACATAACAAAAGACTGGTTAATTGTTTAGCATATTTATAGTAATGAATTTTATTAATTTAATTAAGGACTTTGAGACATTTTGTACTTTCCTGTCTTCCAATTCCTGGAGACATTTCCAAAACCAGAGAAAATATATCTGATTTAGTTAACAAAAATCTTACCTATCTTGGGCTTGACATGTCAAAAATCGTTTTTATTACTGATGAGGGATCCAATGTAAGTCACCTTGGAGGAGAAAAACACCACAGATGTATTGCTCACATTCTTGCAACAATATCACGCCACATCACTCAGCCTTATGCAGACCACCAAACATCTGACAGTGTTGTAGCAGTGCAATCGGCAATTACTGATTTACATTCATTTATTTCTGATTTGAGGTTTTTTTATTTCAATTCTTAAAATTTATCCTACAAGGCGTATTACACCAATACGTCAAGCTCTTAGAGGTGTTTTACTGTTGCCAATTGCAACACGTTGGCTTTCAATCTTAGCTATGGTCAGGGCCTTTTCTGCAGCAGATAAAGAATCATTTAAAGAAATTGTTAACAAATATTCTGGCAATCAATACACAGAGAGAATGGAACGAATTTTTTCCAAGCAAAATCTTTTTGAAGCTTATATTCAAATTGTTTCAATGTTGGAAGCACCTTTGAAAATACTTGAGGTAAAAAATGGCCTAAGTACACTTTACCGGGCGATTTTAGATTTATATGATTTATATGTCAATCGAAAGAGCTCGGCGAGCTGAGTCGAATGACACCAAAATTAGCCCGCGGACTCAACTATGGACCGAGATATGGGTCCCCAAAAATCGAAAAACATAGGGGGGACTAAGCACTTTTTTGGGGGTAAAAAATTCGAATATGCAAATTATACCTCATTCGAAAGAGCTCGTCGAGCTGAGTCAAATGAAACCAAAATCAGCTCGATATCATGATTTCGAGCCAAGATAAAAAGGCTCAAAATGGTCAACGTAAACCTATGGGGCGTAGGCGAGGCGCTTGTGCAAAACCCCGCGCTTCGCGCGGGGTTTTGCGGCACGCGCCTCGCGGGGAGTCTACGGGCGCTGGGTCTGGGCTCGTAACATTGTCCTATTCCTATCATAATGAGGTGGGCATCCCAGGCTTCCTCCGCAGTAGCAAAACCTCCACAGATGCCATAGGTAAGGAGCTAAGATAAAAGATCATAACTTTGTCAAATCAAGTCGGATTTCGTTGATTTTGGTGTTATTCAACTCAGTTCGACGAGCTCTTTCTAATGAGGTATAATTTGCATATTCGAATTTTTTACCCCCAAAAAAGTGCTTGGTCCCTTCTATGGTTTTTCGATTTTCGGGGACCCATATCTCGGTTCATAGTTGAGTCCGCGGGCTAATTTTGGTGTCATTCGACTCAGCTCGCCGAGCTCTTTCGATTGACATATAAATCATAAAAATCTAAAATCGCCCGGTAAAGTGTACTTTAGCCTAAAAAATAATATTGAAATTTAGAAAATTAAAATTTTAGGCCGAAAATAAATGTACACTGAATAGACTAATGATAGAAATGATCAAATTGGAAAATGCTTGGAGAGGAGAAGCAAGAGGAGATGATTTGATCAGAGCAGCGTTAGCCAAAAGTGGATTGAAAGCCTTTAACAGGAAGATGAGTGAAATTTTCATTGAAAATACGGAAAGCCTTTCTATCATCAGATGTGCTGCTTACCTTGATCCTGCCGTTTGTGGAATTCTTAAGAAAGTATGTCAAACGAACTGTCATTGGGGTGACTATGAAACGGTTTTTATTTAGATTTTAATATTGACTTATTAAATTTTAGATACAAAAAGCCGTTAGAAATGTTGCAAAACAAAACTTTCCGGAATGTTTACGCCCACACGTGGAAAACGGTTTTTATTTAATCCAGAATAAGTTTAATAGAAAATTTAGTTTCACCAAGTCTAGTTACCTTTGGTCAAAATGCAATGAGGACTGAGATAGATTTTGAGATGGAACAGTATGAAACTGCATGTAAGAATTTGGGAGGGCATAAGCTAGATTTACTTAAATTTTGGAAAGAAAATTCAATGAAAATTCCACACCTTTCATTCATTTCTAAGCATTTTTTAGCAATTCCTTCTTCTTCTACTTCTTGTGAACGTATATTTTCCCGATTTTCTCCTTTAGTATATGATTATAACGAAATCGTTTTGACCCACATACTATTTCTACACTTATTTCATTACAATCATTATTTAAAGATGAATAAAATTTTGTTGTTTTATTTTTTTAAACTTTAACAAACGAAAACCTAACAAAAATTCCAATGGAGAGACAACGACATAGAAAATTAATAGAAAAAGAGAAAGGAAATATAATGACAGAGCAGAGAAAAAGAGATACAAAAAAGTCGATTCGCAATCGTTTGGCGCAAAACATCGATATTTACGTAGTTCTGGCGTTTTGTATTAAAAAAAAGTCGTTCGCGAATAAAAGTAGTTATTCGCCGCGAATCGACGAAAACGTAGATATGTCGTTCACTAATTTCGAGGGATGTACTCGTGGACCTGTAATTCTTTGAAAAAATAATTAAAAATTATTATTTTTATTTAAAAGCATAACCCTGTTAAACCTGATGTCCCCAAAACACAGCAGACTCAACCTAAAGCTGAGGAAAAGGTTGGTTTTTTGTTTTGATGGTAGGGTTCTTAAAATGGACCGACTCGGACCGAAAGATCGGGTCGGGGGCCTAGATGTTTGGTCCGAAAGTGACTGGTTCTGGTCCGACGATAAAAACAAGCCCGACTAGTAAACGGCCCCTATTTGATGGGCATAGGCTTTTCCTTGGCCTTCCAATTTTTACAAGTGTCAGTTCCCTTTTCCTGGATCTTTTTAAGGATTTAACTAAAAGACTTTTTAAACTTAATTACTCTTTTAATACTTACTTGTGCCAGATACCAATACGCGTGCTAGTTACTGGAGCAGCTGGTCAGATTGGTTATTCTTTGGTTATTCAAATTGCAAAGGGTGATGTTTTTGGAAAGGAAACGGTTTGATATTTTTTAAAACTTATTTTTAAATTCAAATTTTCAGCCTATTGTTCTGGTCATGTTGGATATTCCTCCATTGGGAGAAGTGCTTAATGGAGTGGAACTTGAACTTTACGATTGTGCCTTGGCGAATCTTATAGGTTTTTTGTGATTTAATTTTATCTTAACTTTAGGATTTCTAAACCTCACTAATATTTTCAGCTGTCGAGCCGGTCACGACCGAAGAAGCAGCGTTCAAAGACATTGATTATGCTTTTCTTGTTGGTGCAATGCCTCGAAAAGAAGGGATGGAACGGAAAGATTTACTTGCTGCTAATGTGAAAATATTTAAATCGCAAGGACTGGCTCTGGCAAAGTATTCGAAACCAACTGTTAAGGTAAAAAATAAATTTTGACATTAAAAATTCTTTAAAGGTTCTGGTTGTTGGAAACCCAGCAAATACAAATGCTTTTATTTGTGCAAAATATGCTTCAGAAAAGATTCCAGCAAAGAATTTCAGCGCTATGACACGTCTTGACCATAACCGTGCAATTGCCCAAATAGCTGCTCGTTGTGGTGTTGACTGTGGATCTGTAAAGAAAGTTATAATTTGGGGAAATCATTCAAGTACCCAATTTCCTGATGTTAAACATGCTAAAGTAATTAAAGGTTTGGAAGTTTTTTATTTTATCCGAATATTTAACAGGTGGCACAGAGATTGGTGCTTATGAGGCTGTGAATGATGTGCCGTGGATTCAAAACGAATTTATTTCGGTTATTTATTTTTTGAGGACATTTAGAAAACTTCCATATTTTTAGACTGTTCAAAAGCGCGGAGCCGTTATTATCGAAAAACGCAAACTGTCCAGCGCAATGTCTGCAGCAAAAGCGGCATGGTAAGTAGTAAATCGACATGAGGTCCTTTTGTTTAAAGACCTTCTAATATCTCCTCAATTTTAGCGACCACATTCATGATTGGCACTTTGGAACAAAAGATGGCGATTGGGTTTCTATGGCCGTTCCTTCTGATGGTTCTTATGGAATTCCGGAAGGTTTGATCTTCTCATTTCCAATCACAATTGATGCAAAAACGCGTGACTGGAAAATTGTTCAAGGATTGGAACTTGATGGGTTTGCGAAGCAAAAAATTGAAATTACAACAAAGGTTTCTACAAACTTTTTTAAAAAATAAATTTTTATTAAATATTTTTTGAAGGAATTGACAGCAGAACGCGAAGATGCTTTAGAGGTATCAAAATAAATATTAACTAAAAATATCTGAAGAATTAAAGAATAGTTGTATTTTTATTTTAAAAATGTAAGGAAATACGGGATTTTTTATGACCAATTAAAATATGAATTGAATTTATTTTTAATTTATTTTCTATGATAAATTTAAACCATGAATATTTTTTAATTTAAACCCGCTAGAAAATTTCGACCTAAAGATGTTTTTCCTAGCTTTTCTTTTAATTAAAAAATTTTTTGATTTGGATTTAGACACACAACAACTTAAAAAGTCAAAACTTTGAAGCCTTATAACTTTTCGAAATGAGGGTCAGGGGAAAAAAGCGAGGTATGGGAATAGGCTATCGACCTCTGCACGGTGGTATAATTTTTATGAAAAATTTTTTGTTCACAGTTCGGAAGGTTCCCTTGTTGCCTCCATGAGGGAGAGTTACCATTTTAGTGTTATTTTTCCTGCGTTTACTCAAATAAAAGTATCGAAAAATAAAAATGAGAAATAACTATGAAATGGGCGCTTATTCTTTTTTTCACTGAAACGTCTCTTAGTTTTTGCTGGTTAAGTTGTTGTCTAGAAATTTCTGTTAATTAAATTTTTAAGGTTAATTTTAGTTCCTTTTTAGTGTTTTTAAATTTATTATTGATGGATACTTCAAATCTTTTACTTTGTTACAACAAGGGATGTGGAGCTAAATTTAATCCTGATGAAAATAAAGAAGGTTTTTTTTATTTTTGATTTTAATTTTAAAAAATTGAATTTTTAAGATTCTTGCATTTTCCACCCTGGGCCGCCCTATTTTCATGATGCTTACAAAATTTGGAAGTGTTGCAATAAAAAAAGCACAGATTTTAGGTTAATTTTAATGTAAATTTTAATTTTAAAAATTGTATTTAAAGTACTTGGCTGAGTTTTGAAGGATGTACTCGTGGACCTGTAATTTATTTTAAATTAATAAAAATTATTTTTATTTAAAAGCATAATCCTGATAAACCTTGCAATGATGTTCCTAAAGTTTTGCCTTCACAGCCTGAAGTTGAAGAAAAGGTTTGATTTTTATTTTGCTGCTTACAATTAGAGGTTTTTTAAGCATTCTTATATCGCATTCCGATTTTTTTCAACATTTTGTGCGGGACGGGATCCCTCGGGATTAATCTTTGAATTTATTTTCTCGTTTAAATTTCAGGATTTATGGGTGTGATCCCTTAAAATTCCTTCAGTGATTTTATCCCGTGACAATCTCTATATAAGACTATAATGACTCAAATCAATATACGAAGTTCATAGGAATATTAGGACGGAAATTTTTTTTGTTTTTCTTTTTGAACAATCAATTCTTTTTTTAAATTTAAATCAAAAAGAAAGAACCTTTTAATTTTAAGAAGGAATTGATTAAAAAATGTTCTCCTATATTTCCCTAAAATTAAATTTATAGCGAAGAATTTTTCAATCTTTAGATGATCGTCTGGAATGGATTAAACAAACCTGCCGAACGATCTGAAGCCCACAATCGAGAAAGAGTTTCACTTTCTATGCAAATGACAGAGGTCATTTTATTCGACTTAATTTTCAATTTTCTTTATTTTTTTTTAATTTTCTAGACTTCCCGGAAAGCATTAGAAAATGAATTACAACGAAGGAAAGAAAATGTTGAAATAATCGATGAAATTCAAAATTTAAAGCTTTTGATTGGGACTGGATGTACTAATAATGCTTGCAAAGCGGTTTTTTTTAATTTTATTTTTCTGATATTTTTTTAGACTTATAATGGCCCCGAAACAGATTTACAAGAATGTTTACACCATCCAGGCAATGCAATATTCCATGAGGGAATGAAATTTTGGTCTTGTTGTGAGCGCAAAACTACCGATTTTGGAGCTTTTCTTGATCAACTGGGATGTTCTAGAGGAAAGCATTGTTGGACTAAAGTTTGTTTTTTAAAAATTTTGGGAATTTTTTATTTTTTAAGGGTCTTTAATTTATTTAACTTTGTACAATAATTGCTGTCATTTTTGACATTTTCATGCTCAAATTCTGGGCATTTATCGGTTACCCCCTAACATTTCTGATAAATATCAATTATTTAAAAGCAAAGTTCAGAAGATTTTTAAATAATTTTTTTTCGTCTGTTCTAACTAAATTGTTTCTGTCTTGTTCACCTCGAGAGAAACTTTAAAAAATTTTTCTCTAAAATATTTATTCTTTTAATTTTATTAAAACAGCAAATTGATCAAACAGAAAATCTTCGAGAAGATTGGTTTCAGCGAAATGGACAAATTTTAATTTCAATTTATTGTAAAGGAGCGATAATTGAAGGGACTAAAATTGACACAGATGGACTCAATTTAAAGGCTAAAATTAAATTTAATTTTGGAGATAAAGAAACTTTACGAGAATATGAACTTTTTGGTGAAATTATTCCTTCTGAGAGCATGGTTTGATTTTTTAAAAATGTTTTTAAAAATTAGAGTTTGGGGTTAATGAGAGGATGCACTTCGTCTTTATAGTTTCTGAACGAATAGTAGTCCAATTTTTGTAGTCTTTATATTGTTTGGATAGGAATGTTGCAGGGCTAAGGTTTCTTCTGCTTCCGGTTTTGCCTAATTTAGTCATTTTTGGTTTTCCAATTTTATTTCCTCCCATCTTTCAAAGGGTCCATCCCAGGCCCGTAACCAGGGGGGGTGAGGGGGGGAATTCCCCCCCCCCCCCCCCCCGAAATGGGAAAAAGGAAAAAATTTGGGGAAGGGCTGGGGCAAAATAAGTGAATTTTTTGGCCTACGGCCTCTGAAATTTAAAAAATTTTCGCCTGCGGCGCTAAAAAAGGACGAAATCTGGCTTCTTGAGGTCCAAAATTCAAAAAATTTTCGCCTGCGGCACTGAAAATCAAATTTTTGGCGCCTGCGGCGCCGAAAAAGTGAATTTTTTTGGCCTACGGCCTTCTAAAATTCTCAAAATTTTCGCCTGCGGCGCTGAAAATAAAAATTTTTGGCGCCTTCGGCGCCAAAAATTTGGCGCAATAAAATTTCCCCCCCCCCCCCCCCCGAAAAAAATCCTAGTTACGGGCCTGGTCCATCCTGCTATAAAACCTCACTTTTTGGGTTTAAAATTATCTTTATTTTTAAGGTTTTGATAAGTGAACGAAAAGTGGAGATTATGCTTAAACAGGTGAACAAAGATGCTTGGCCAAGACTGACATATAAGTGATATTTTTTAACGGATATTTTTATTTTTGTAAAAAATTTGAAAAAATATGTTGAGATGTTTTACAAGAGAAGGCAATTGAAATTTTTGATTTTTTGAAAAAAAAAATCAAAGTGGTATTTAACCAGCAGATTTGCAAGAAATATCGAAGTTAAACATGTTTAGTGGGAAAAATGAAATGGGTAGCTTAATTTTTAACAAATTTCTACGAAAAAAGATGTGAAGCGTCTTATAAATTAAAAAGCCATAATTGCAGAAAAACCTTTATATAAAATATCTCTTTTAGACTAAAAGAGATCCTCTAGAAATCAAAGAAAATACGCTTCACACAAGTACACAGAGAACATCCTCCACCACAGAGCACAATTGCCTCTAATAGGTTAAGGAGAATAACTAAGCAAACTATTTGAATTTAAACATTTAATATGCAAAAAATTTCAACAATCATAAAATCAAATTCCGAAAAATTCATTTAAATTATAAATAAAAAAATAAATAAACCAACAAAAATTATTTGAAGAATCATCTCAAAATTTCTTGTTTCATTTTGTAACAAAAATCACCTGTATCTTTCTATTCTAATCAAGGAGATCTTCATCAATTTGTTCATCAAATTGTTCATCAATTTTTTGATCAAATAAGCCATGAAATAAACCAAAAAAATTGTCCGTAGACGTGGGACTTGAATTTGCATATTCCATCTTAATATCCTCTACCAATTCACGAGAAATCGACTGAAGAATGATTAATGATTTTTTCAAAATAATTTTAAATGAGGCCATTAAGAATTTAAAAATTTAAGGATTTTACGGATAAAATCCAACAACGATCCAAAAATAACTAATCAAAATGAGAGGAACCTAAAATTTTGAAAGATATCCGAAAACTATATAAAATTTTGAGAATATATCAACATAGGTATATTAGAAAAGATTTGAGAATGGGTTAGGAATAAGTTTATTCTAGCCAATATTTATAAAAAAGTAATACCAATAATTCGGGTTGAATTTTCAGAGCTTTCGTAATAGAAGAATAATTATGCATTGCATTAATGGCACAATCATAAAATTTTTCAACAAATATTTTTCCGTTGTCTGTCAATTTTTCACGTTCAACATCATTTAAGATAACAGAATAAAGTCCAAAAGTGAAGAATAATTTAAATAAAACAAATTCTTCTTTGTTGAGCTCTAATTTGCCAAGTAAACGAACCAATTTAATTGTAACTTTCTCAACAACTTCTTTGGTTAAGAAACTATTTTTGGGAATCTAAAAAGAATTTTTAATAAATAAATTGTACTAAACTTGAAAGCTTATAAAAATTAGAATCTAGATCAATCAAGTATTGTGGAAATATCCTAAATAACTCTTAAAACAATTAAAACCAATTAACTTTAAATTTTAGCTAACTTAAAGATCCTTGTTATTCCAAGGATATTATTTCTAATCAAATTATTTTGTAAAAAATTATTATAAAAAATATTACTTCAAATCCTTCTTCAAGTGGTAAGCAAAGAAAACTTGAAAAACCAACATATTGTGTCTTATATTCTTCATTGGATGAAATCAAAGTCCCCAAAGCAAATTCAAAAATTAGAAGAGGCGCATATGCATAACGTAATAAAATAATCTTTAAAAAATTAAAAGTAATAATCCATAAATAAGAAAACCTTATCATTAACAGTTAACTCATTGCCGGAGAAATTTTGAGGTGTAACCTCCTCGAAATTGATCCCGGAAAGACAATTAATATATTCCACCAATTTTATAACAAAATGGGATTTTGTAACCTCAATTTGTTGAAAGTCAATAACTTGTGTAACAGGTTTAATACGAAATTCACCCTGTTATTAAAAATTTTTATTGGAAAATTTTGTTTAAATAAAAGATTGTAATTTAAAACAAATGTCATTTAAGCTGATTGTGAGATACAAACGTAAACTATAGGGGATGTGACCGTTGAGACTGAACGAATTTTAAAGATTATGCCCAAATTAATTAGCTAAGCTTTTTGAATGACACACTTGAGCGAAATTAAAATCATAGCGAAGGTTCAACGTAAACCTATGGGGCGTAGGCGAAGCGCACTCCCCTATGGTTTTTGACCATTTCGAGCCCTATATCTAGGTCCACAGGCATCTCCGTGAAAAAGAATGGTACCGTTCGACTCAGCACCTTTTTCTACCCTATATATGACATTTTGAACATTAATTTAGGGGGTTACGTCATAACGGAAAAGTACCCAATATACCATTCAAAAGAGCTCGTCGAGCTGAGCCGAACGACACCAAAATTTGCTTCGGGACTCTCCTATGAGCCAAATCACAGGCCCCTAAATTTAAGAACCAAAGGATGACCAAGCTGATTTGTGGGTGAAAATAATAGCTCAATCAAAAGACAGTAATTTTGTGCATAGTCGATGATTTGCACAAAATTACGAGAAACTAAACTACTAGCTGTAGCCGGGGGGGGGGGGGTACGGACCTGGCTGCTACGACTCGATATTTCAGAGTTGAAAATCGATAGAAAGGAATAGGCTTATGTTAAAAGTGCAGAACCCAGCAAAAGTTGATTTCCAGGAGAACCCAGCAAAAGTTGATTTCCAGGAGACTAAAAGAGATCCTCTAGAAATCAAAGAAAATACGCTTCACACAAGTACACAGAGAACATCCTCCACCACAGAGCACAATTGCCTCTAATAGGTTAAGGAGAATAACTAAGCAAACTATTTGAATTTAAACATTTAATATGCAAAAAATTTCAACAATCATAAAATCAAATTCCGAAAAATTCATTTAAATTATAAATAAAAAAATAAATAAACCAACAAAAATTATTTGAAGAATCATCTCAAAATTTCTTGTTTCATTTTGTAACAAAAATCACCTGTATCTTTCTATTCTAATCAAGGAGATCTTCATCAATTTGTTCATCAAATTGTTCATCAATTTTTTGATCAAATAAGCCATGAAATAAACCAAAAAAATTGTCCGTAGACGTGGGACTTGAATTTGCATATTCCATCTTAATATCCTCTACCAATTCACGAGAAATCGACTGAAGAATGATTAATGATTTTTTCAAAATAATTTTAAATGAGGCCATTAAGGATTTAAAAATTTAAGGATTTACGGATAAACCCAACAACGATCCAAAAATAACTAATCAAAATGAGAGGAACTTAAAATTTAAAATTTTTGAAAATTCTGAGAATGGGTTAGGAACAAAAGTCTAGTCTAGCCCATATTTATAAAAAAAGTAATACCAATAATTCGGGTTGAAATTTTGTAAAAAATTTCAGAGCTTTTGTAGAAGAATAATTATGCATTAAATTAATGGCACAATCATAAAATTTTTCAACAAATATTTCCCCGTTGTCGGACAACTTTTCACGTTCAACATCATTTAAGACAACAGAATAAAGTCCAAAAGTGAAGAATAATTTAAATAAAACAAATTCTTCTTTGTTGAGCTCTAAGTTGCCAAGAAAACGAACCAATTTGATTGTAACTTTCTCAACAACTTCTTTGGTTAAGAAACTATTTTTGGGAATCTAAAAAGAATTTTTAATAAATAAATTGTACTAAACTTGAAAGCTTATAAAAATTAGAATCTAGATCAATCAAGTATTGTGGAAATATCCTAAATAACTCTAAAACAATTAAAACCAATTAAACTTTAAATTTTAGCTAACTTAAAGATCCTTGTTATTCCAAGGATATTATTTCTAATCAAATTATTTTGTAAAAAATTATTATAAAAAATATTACTTCAAATCTTTCTTCAAGTGGTAAGCAAAGAAAACTTGAAAAACCAACATATTGTGCCTTATATTCTTCATTGGATGAAATCAAAGTCCCCAAAGCAAATTCAAAAATTAGAAGAGGCGCATATGCATAACGTAATAAAATAATCTTTAAAAAATTAAAAGTAATAATCCATAAATAAGAAAACCTTATCATTAACAGTTAACTCATTGCCGGAGAAATTTTGAGGTGTAACCTCCTCGAAATTGATCCCGGAAAGACAATTAATATATTCTACCAATTTTATAACAAAATGGGATTTTGTAACCTCAATTTGTTGAAAGTCAATAACTTGTGTAACAGGTTTAATACGAAATTCACCCTGTTATTAAAAATTTTTATTGGAAAATTTTGTTTAAATAAAAGATTGTAATTTAGAACAAATGTCATTTAAGCTGATTGTGAGATACAAACGTAAACTATAGGGGATGTGACCGTTGAGACTGAACGAATTTTAAAGATTATGCCCAAATTAATTAGCTAAGCTTTTTGAATGACACACTTGAGCGAAATTAAAATCATAGCGAAGGTAATCATTTCGAGGTAAAATCATTTCGAGCCCTATATCTAGGTCCACAGGCACAAAATTACGAGAAACTAAACTACTAGCTGTAGCCGGGGGGGGGGGGGGGGGGTACGGACCTGGCTGCTACGACTCGATATTTCAGAGTTGAAAATCGATAGAAAGGAATAGGCTTATGTTAAAAGTGCAGAACCCAGCAAAAGTTGATTTCCAGGAGACGCGTCTCGCTGACTCCCATAGGGTTGTCCAAATTTTGGTCACAGTTCACGAGGTTCCCTTGTCGACTCTACAAGCTCTTTCGAATGAGCTATCACTTGCATATTCGATTTTTCCCCAGAAAATTAGCTGCATTTTCAGGATTTTATGCGCAAATGTAATCCCGAGTTAATCTGGTTTCGTTCGACTTAGTCATTTATCTGAATCGGATTGGGGAAATATGACAGAATTTTTCCTATTTTTAAGAAATCTCTATCAAACCTGTTTTTTAAATTGATCCAAAAAAGTTTTTTCTTTAAAAAGTTTCTCCAAATTTACTTCTGTAGACAATTTTTTGTTTCCATCATTTTCTCCTCTATTTATAACCAATTCGGTTGTAATTAATTTTTGAATTAAAGCTTGTGTATTTAAATTAATAGCTGCCATCTAAAATTAAATAAAATATTTTATCCATACCCCTCCCAATTATTTGAGTTAAACAAATTATTTCTTAAATTTTTCTTTTGATAAACCTAATCTCAAAAGGGAAAACTACTGATAAAACAACTTTTTCTTAATTAAAAAAGGAGGGTATGAACAATACACCTAATCTCAAAAGGGACAACTACAAGATCGGTCGGGCTAATAGTATGTATTAAAAAAATTTTTATAAAATAAATTCAAAGAACCAAATTACGGTAACACAGCAGACTAGAGACGAAATTTGGGAGATAATTTCATTTTTGGACAGAACGCCAAGCATTTAACAAAGTGCTCGATTTGTCCCAATATCCTTTTATTCGGTACACCTCATTTGAGTCCGCACGATTGAGTCCTCACGATTGAGTCCCCACGACTGAGTCCCGGCACGATTGAGTCCCGGAACGATTGAGTCCCCACGATTGAGTCCCCCTTGTATATACCTCAATTGAGTCCCCGTGGATTTAATAAGTTTAAAAATGTTTAAGAGGGATATCCGTGGATTTTGAAGGCTTAAAGTGAATATCAGAGGACATGTATGCAACATCGAGGGATCAAGTTGGATATCGGTGGATGTGGAGAGATATAAATAGATTTAAGCACTTAAGGGGGATATCGGTGTATTAAAGTAGATATCAAGAATTTGGATGGATTTGGGGATTAGGAGGCTGGAAGATCTTTCTCATCAGCTGGAAGATCTTCGAATTCTTCCTCTCGCAGCAATACACTATCCTCGTTACGAATGGTCTCCCTTGCAGTTTAATGAAGTTCACGGACGAGTCGACGCCCTCCATTGGTTCATCTTCGGCTGGCTAGTCTTTCTCGACGGTGATGTTCCGCTGCGAGATACAACAAGGGTGAACAGCATAATAACAGGGGTGCACAGCAGCTATATTTTTAAAAAATTAGAAATTTCAAAAAATTATTTTAGAAATTCAAAAAATTAGAATCCTGTTTAACCTCAATTCTGATGAAAGAAAACATGTATTCAAGCAGATTCTGTCAACTAGTTTCATCCCACAATATTTTTGAAATAATCCCGCATGCGGGATAAGGAATTTTTTAAATTAAATCCACGGGGACTCAATTGAGGTATATACAAGGGGGACTCAATCGTGGGGACTCAATCGTGCGGACTCAGTTGAACTGCTCCGCCTTTTATTCGGAGCACCCCAGTTCAGTCTGGACCCTATAACTCATCAAGGAATCGACACTTTTTCATGTTCTCGGTACCATTGGATAGAGAATAAAGAGCTCTACAATATATCAAAAAATCAGAATTTTTGACCGATTGATAAAAAAGTTATGATATAAAAACCACCTTTTTCAAAAAACGTGATTTTTTGGCACTCTTTCGAACATAACTTTTTTACCAGTTAGTCAAAAATTTTGATTTTCAAGGTATATTGTAGCTTATTTAATGCTCTATCAAATGGTACTAAGACATCAAAAATGATCAACCCCTTCAAAAGTTATAGGGCGCGCGAGAAACTAGGTGTACCCCTTTTTATTTAATTTTATCAAATCCGAGGTCATATTCCGGCTTAACAACTTAAGTTCGAAATTTCTAACTTAACTTATATAAAAAGACATTAATATTTCTGAAGCAGATCAATCAAAAAAGGATGCATGTTAGATCAAAAAATTTCTATAGTGAAAATTTAAAGAGTAAAACCATTAATTTTGGATTTATGGATCTAGACTAAGTTATGGCCAAAAGTTAATGATTTTCAATCAAAGGACTATAGTTTAATAAGTTTTGAGGAAATTGGACCGGAAATTCCCTATTTTAAGCTGTGAAAATTTTTTCCGATTTTTAATATCTGTTTAACATACTGTAGTGGACAAAAGTATAAAGGCTGTCAGCTTCATTATGTTAAAAGCTTATAAAATTTTTTAAAAATTTCCCTATAAATATAATTTTGTGCTCATTTTGTAGCCAAATTTATCCTCTTTAAAATGGACTATAACTTCGATGTATATCACTTAGAAATTTAATAATAATCATTATTATTCCAAAGTAGTCGTTTTTTGCGCCACAAAATTATAAAGATTTTTAATCAAGAAATATTTTTGATGGGTAAAATTTCAGGAAAGAGCTATAAGATCTAATAGGAATTACCGTAAATCTTCTAATAGAACCACACTCTGAAAGAAGCACACTCCCTAATATAAGCACACCCCTAGTATATCGACTGAATAAAGAACTAATAATTTTGTGCATCTCATCAAAAACCTGTACCCAGACACGATCCCCGTACACCCCAAACCCCTGAATGTTAGAGATGAAATCCCAATTGCAACCCTGCACACTCCCTACTATAAGCGCACTCTACGAGATAATCGAAAAATAAAAGCACATGTGGTTCTATAATATTAGAAGATTTAAGGTATGTAGAGTACATATATGTAGAGATTTTACTAAGCTTTAACCAAAGCAAAGGGCCTTTATAATTTTGTCCACTGTTTTGTATTCCTCACCTTAAATTCTCTCAAAATTTTCTTAAAAGTTTGCCCCAAATAAATATAAAAAATTGTAGAGGATGTTGTAAATTTTATAGAAAATTTTTTCCATTCTGATTTTGCTGTTGTTTCATTAATTATAAGAACATTAATTTTTGTTATTATTTCATTAATATTAATTGCTTTAAATATGTCTACAAGCATTTCGACGGGGATGGAATTTTTAATTTTTATTTTATTTTTGTTTTGAATATTTTGAAGAATATTTTCCATTTTTTAATTTTGAATGAAAAATTTTTTAAAAAATTATTAAAAACGAAATTTTCACTTTTTAGGCTAAATTGGTTAAAATTATAATTAAATGCATAGAAATGTTGGGATTAATCTTGCGAGAATAAAAGGGCTTTTGTTACAACCACGTAGGATATAAGCCTAAATTCAGTCACCCCCACCCTTTCATTTCCAACTAAAAGTTTATATCAAAAAATTCAATAGTCCCTGCTAGGTGGACGAAATCTAAGTCGAAAATTCGCTAAAGTCTAATTTATTAAACTTTAAAAAGAAAGTTTAAACAAAAAGAGCTTTCAACAAAACTGCATAAAATAAACCACCAAATGTAAGTAAAGTGACTGAATCCATTTCAGAAAAATAGCAAAAGATTGGGTGAGTGGGCGAAAAGTTCCGCCCCCTTACTAGGATGGGCGGAAACTTTACCGGCCTTACAAATTAGTTATGTATTTGAACTGAAAAATTTTGGAGGAAAGCATTAACAGCTACACATATATTTTTGGGATTCTAGCGAGACATTTAATTATAAATTTAATTTTAAAATTTATTTAAAGATTTTTATTAAAAATTAAATTTAAATAAATATATTTTAGGGCTTGTTATTTATTTGGTACTTTATGGATATGTCAACCCCCCTCCTATTTTGAGTCTCAGAGTTTTCCTTAAACATAGAAAATGGTCAGAGATTATTTTCCTTTCCATGTCAATCATTTTTCTTTCTTCAAGCAGAATAAGTTAAATGTGGTAAATGTAGAGACGAAATGAGTGAAATGTAAGTACAAAATATGTGAAAAGGCAAAATAAACAAGCAAAATACTTGTAGAAGAAAAAATGATTGACATAGAGAAGAAAATAATCTCTGACCATTTTCTACGTTTAAGGAAAACTTTGAGACTCAAAATAGGAGGGGGGTGACATATCCATAAAGTACCATTTATTTAATAGATGGGTGGGTGGATCGAAAAGTACCGCCCCCTTGCTAGGAGAATTTAAAAAGGGCTTAAAAGAGGGAAAAGAGGGATCTGTCCGTTCTCTTAATTCTCTTAGCAAAGGGGCAGAAATTTTCGATCCACCCATCCATCTGTCAAATAAATAAAAGTTCCACATGCGTATTAAAAGAAATTTATTTTTTGAATTCTTTTTTATATTGCAAAAAATATCCCTCCCACCAGACGAAAAATAAAGGTCAAATACATATTTATAAAAAAAT